AACTGGTTTTTTTTTTCGGACTACTGTAATGTTGGCTGCAGATGGTCTATATAGGGGATAGGGATCGAGTGCAGATGGCAATCCAAACCCGCGGAAGGACTTATGGAGCGGCTGAAGGCCAACTACTGCCTGACGGATACGACTTTAGCCTGAGGGCACCACTAGGGGTTAGAACCTCGGTCGTCGTAACATCGATCCCCGTTGAATTGGACGGGGCGATCCCCCGTCCAATTCAATCGGAGGGGAGAAGAACTGGTAAAAAACTCAAGTAATTTTTCTTAAACAGTCTGTTTATTTACATTATTTAAATCCCGTATATGAACAAGTATTGCCATGTACGTTTGTCATTTAAGTAATGGTTTAGTTTGAAATAGTCTTTGCGCAATAAACATGATTCAACAGATGTGTTGAGATTGTACAAATAAACTTATATAAATAACTGGAAATATGTAACTACCGAAAACTTTAAACATACGAAATTTATTCATCTAAATATGATCTTTGGGTATATCAAATATAATACAAATCAAAGAGTTTTGGGATAAACGTGTAGCTAACATCCTAACAAACTTGAGCATTCATTATACTAGCTGTTAGTCGCGATTTCATCTGCTATGTTCTTGTGATACGATATCATCCATCAATAGACGGCCGTCATATGATCTATGTATACGGTCCATATATGTATATCGAGACGACCTCTGTGGTCTAGCGGTTGAGCACGCCGTCTTACTTTCGATAGTCGCGGGTTTGACTCCTCGCACGGTACAAACATTTGTACTCATACATATGATTGTTTGTATCTGTCTGGATATAATATGCAAATATTTACCAAAAAAATATATCTAATTATGTATATGAGTTATCTAAAACCCAATACATAAGATTTGCTTACATTGGGACTAGATGGCGCTGTATGAATAATCCAGGAATATAATACAAATTTATTAATATCTGTTAATTTAATATACATACAGACAGACATTCGAATTTATATAATAATAGTAGGTATAACTCAGCATTTTTCATAGCCTGTATTTATTTATTGATACAACCACGGTACCAGTGTTCGAATGCAAACAAAACTTGTCATGCCCATTTTTTGTTTTATCTCGGCAAATATCTGCCACATCTCATACATTATTCATTGCATAGAGTTCTAAGAGTTGGGTAACCTGTGTTGGTTCAACAATGAGAAATACCTTTTTTTAAATACCTAGCGATGTCACTTCTGCCTGCAGCCTTGTTTAGTTCATAAACAAACGTGTTCAGAACAGCATTCCAAAACATAAACTACGCTAATTAATTAGTTCTCAAATTTCGCTCTTTAGTTTATTAGTTCGTATGATAATATATATATATATAATTGGTAAAAAAATATAAGAACACATAATTAAAGGAAATATTCACTAAATCATCATATAACTACCCGTTGGCGGCAACTATGCTTCTCGAAATTTAACTTCTTTTTATTATTCAAATAAAAAATATTGCTATATTTTCTTCACACAATCAATTAAAATGTATGAAAATTCAAAAATAAAATGTATGAATTTAATTTATTATTTCTAATTCATATAATAATTTAAAGAAGATTTCTAATAACCATTATTATTGCATAGTTGATAATCAACGTTTTACTATCCTTTTGTTCTGATATAAATAAAATAAATTGTAAATTCTAATTATTAAATTAAAATCTTAGCTGAACCACCCTACTCTGCTTTTCTCTGACTTGAGTCGAGAGCAAACGAACTAATTCGCAAGAGTACTGGGAACTAAATAGAGAGATACTAGTCGCTAACTGTTATGCGCAAGACCATCTGGCTGGTTTTAAATATAAAGTCATATTTACTTATTGTAAGAGGTTAGTACACAAAAACTTACGAATATTCAAAAGTTATATACAGAAGGAGCACAGAATACTAATATATATTTTTTAATTATGCATCAATAATACATTAAATTATAAAAAATTTCATACAGAACCATGTATTTGACACATACGCGTGTATGTGTAAAAATATTGTTTAATTTCAAAGCTTGATCAAAGTGGTCCAGAGTCTTATTTAATGCCAAATTAATAAGGGTCGAATTTCGACCACTGAGCGACCTGATTAATATTATAAACGCGAAAGTTTGTGTAAGTATGGATGTTTGTTATTCTTTCGCTCAAAAACGAATTGATTTTAATTACAATTTACAATAATAACTTTACAATAATATATAGGCTATAAATTTCACGCGGCTGAAATCGCAGGCACGACTAGTATGTACATTAATAAAGATAACAACATAATCAAAGATACTAACAGAAAACATAGAATAGACAAAGAATGTTGGCAAAATATGTGAAAAGAAAATCGGATCAAGAAATAAATTATATCTACTAACTACTATGCAGCAGGCCCTACACCGAGGCATAGCTGCGTACATTACATGGACCCATATCAACATTATGTCATGAACTCATGAATAAAGCTACAACGCCGATTTTCAGTGGGACCTGAATATGAAACAATTCTCGGACTGTTGTTTTAATTTTTTTTACGTCCGTTTACAATTGTATACATTCTATAAACGAGATGTTTTCCATGATTTGACTGATGATAATGACTTTACACCCACCACAAGGGTTGTCAGACAGATCCAGATATAGTTAGGCCTTTTTATTGCATTTCCGATCAAAATGAACGGTGCCCGGAAACCGGTTAAGTGATTTTGAACAAATTTTATATGAATACACTACTGTGTATTACGACCTACTGGTCTGAGAATAGGTTGTAATCTATATTTTAAAATCCTAAGGTTGGCCCACACAAGTATTGTGTTTTTTAAACGGAAATTTATATATAAACTGGTTTACCAAGTCACGTGGTTAAAATGTAAAAGTACCCTAATATTTTTATGTTGTGGGGAAGTTCTGTATCTTACAATGGTACATTAATAGATTGTTTTCCATTAATATAATACGTAGTAGGTATGTTTAGAAACTGAATGTTATAAACAGGATGCTTTTCTTTTGTTTTTTTTTTATTATGAACTGTCTCATTCGCAGGGAAGGCCGGAAAGGGCAGATAATGGCAGAAATAACCTTCCCCGAGGCACTAAGCCGAAATATGAAAATAATTTTATAACTTCTTATCAGCAATAGTCGATGACGAGAGGTTTTAGATTTACCGAAAAAGGTCGAATGATTATTTTCATATTCGATTATGTTTTATGGTGATCATTTTATTTCGGTATCCTTTCTGGTTAAAATTACTTCAGTAGTATTTTTCTTTAGAGTAGTTAAGATGTCTCTACGTATAAATAAAATTGCAGTGTCTGTTTGTAATATTGAAATAACCGTTTTTTACAACATGCATATGAATATAAATACGGTACATACACCAAAATAACATTTTTACAGTTTTTGTCTGTCTGTTTGTTCCGGCTAATCTATGCAATGGCTGGACCGATTCTGATGGCACTTTTATTGGCAGGTAGCTGTAATATCGCCTATATTTTAGAAAAATAATCTTAAATTCCATGCGGACGAAGTGGCGGGCACAGCTAGTGTAAATATAAAATATGTAAGTAGGCAATTAATTTAGAATCCAAAACAGAGCTAACATTCTCTGTTATGATCCTAAGCTCCTAAGAAATTAAAAGAAAAAAAACTAATAATACTAACCTCCGTCCGAGATTTTGTCCGCGTGATCATTACTGACTGCGATAAGAAGCCTAGCCTATGTATTATTCTATTCTAAATGTTCTATAAATCATACTAGTTATGTACGCGACTTTGTCCGCGTAGAATAATGACATTGCCGTCTTCAGTGCCGTGATCACACAGACAATATTATTGTATTAGTTTTTAAATATTATATTATATGTATGTTAGTCTATAAGGTATTTATAATATGGGCCTAGTTGCCTGAAATAAATGAATAAATAAAATTAAATATTTAATAATCTAATCCAAAGAAATAAAAGAAAAAATGTTCATTGTTCTAACTTCAAAAATAACGAATTTCCATACAAAATTTGATCCTCTTTGCATGTCGAATTAACAGAAGTTAACAGCCTAAAAAACAAGTTTCACGTTTTAAAAATGTAGATTATTTCATACAACCTTTCATCTCCCCTTTCATCCCCTTACAAACTTTTCACATTAAAAAGTAGCCTATGTCCTTTCTCAGGGTTTAGACTATATGTGTAGCAGACAATCTCACTTTCTCTCTGTAACGAATATTACTTAGAATTACGTAGTAATATCTTATTAGAACTAACGAATTTTTTTTTACCAAATACCCTCCGATTAAATAAAAAGTTGTAGTTAAACGTATCACTAAACTAATCTGGTGCCCATCATTTACCTACAATACTATCTTTTCGTCAAAGTTTCTTAAGATTTGTTCAGCCACCAAACAAGACACTTCGTATTTCTCTTACTAAGATTGTAAACGCGAAAGTTTGCGAGTATGTATGAATAGATAAATGTTTGTCACTGTTTCACAGAAAGACTAGCTATAATTTAAAATGATATTATATAAATTGAACGAAATATAAATCGTAAGTAAGTGTGATGCATAGGAATTTTCGCGGGTCAGCTAATATTTATTATAAGAGATTTAACTAACAATGAATTAGTTTTTCAAATAAAACTCTGAAATTTTAACTACCCACATATCTAATACAATTAGATAATTGCCTTAAATGTTTATTAATTCGTTTATTTAACGAGCTTAATAATATCTAATATAATTCTCCTATTTAATGAAATACAGCTATCGATAAAAAATCTAATTTTTATTATCATAAATTTCGGTAAAACCAAATTGAATAAAGCAAAAAAAAACTTAAGTGGCTTTGTGTAAAGTGAACTTAAATTGCTTTAAGATTTTACACGCAAGCAATAAAATACCGTAAATAAAACAAGAACCGGTTAATTTCGGACGAATCGGAAACGCAAGCCTTGGAGCAGATCGCTCAGCATATAATAAAAATGTACTCACATTCTCTAACATAACTCTTGCTGTCGTAATAACAGACGACTTTCGCTGCAGATGGTGGGTTGTTTGCGAAGCTAACAGCAAGCAGGCCGGCGAAGGCCAGCAGGAACTTCATGGTGACGAGCTGGTTCTCAATTTGTGGAAGGTGCTGCTCTAGACGAAGCGTGTGTGTCGAATGAATCTTGAGCTAGCGTTGCTAACGAGATTGCCTGCAGTAGTGGTGGGGTCAAAGAATAGTGATGACCACATTGAACAACGCATTGATTTGTCATTTACCTTCTAGTTTGAATGCGATATCTGTATTATAATATATTTTATTCTAGATGCTTCCATCATGTTACGCGTTTTATCGTTACAGCTAGTGAATACTAATTTTAAATGCATAAACGAGCATTGTAGTTAAATTTTTGTGGTATTTGGATAAATTCAATTGGTAGCCTGCTATAGAATTACGGTTTGTGTAATTAATATTAATTATTTTAGAATTTTATTTTGGTAGTAAAATATTTCTATTATCTAGAACTCTGATTTTATTTTCATCTATTTATCATACACATTTTGGATTACCATTCCATCATGATATGCAATAATACGGCCTCGGTGGTCTAGTGGTTTAGGACACCACCTTGATTCCAAAGGTCGCAGGTTCGATTCCTCACAAGGTACAAATATTTGCAACCATAAGTATGATGTTATCATACTGTTTACAGAAAAAGTATTCTCTATGTATTTATATTAATCGTCTATTATCCATAACAACAGCTTTGCTTAGCTTGGAACCAGATGACACTGTATGAAATGCCCTTGCTTAAAACATAAACATTAAAAAAAATACATACATAAATCATCATAATTTTTGGTCAATCATTTTTATTTAAAAAATGATACTTAAAAAACCATGTAAACATGCCAAATTAAAATCAGATTAATTTCATCAGAAAATTGCCTTGTAATCCTTTTTTACTAACAATTAACTCAAACTGAATGTTCATAGGTAAAAAACGTTAGCAGGCGTGAAAATAAATATCTGTAATCTATGACCATTCTTAAAGCAACGATGATGTCATTTATAAGGAGAAGTGGTACATAAATGATTGTATGATACAGCAACCCCAATAACAATTTACAAACAAAATTTATTATTAATTTGTTATTCTACATTTGAAAGGGGAACCTGTTTATTTTGTATTAATTTTAAATTAAGAATAATTGAAATCAATATGTAATATACACAAAATAATATAAGATACACAAAATGTATATATTAATTTGTTTATATAGGATACGTATCGCTTAACTGTTTGTTTTATGCCTACCTACCTGCCTAAAGGTATAAACGGCGTACCTAATTGTGAAATCGTCTTTATATTGTTGAATATATATTTTTTTTCTATATATACATATCATTAAGTCACGTCTCTTACGGACTAAACCAGTGGAAACTTGAAGCACCACTCAAAAAACATCATTGGTCTAATTTTCATATTTCATCTCATGTATAACACCGTTATTAGAGTTTGTTGACTGTTCCTTCGGACACCATATCTAAATATTGACTTTTACTTATCTCTATCTTATATATAAAATTCTCGTGTCACAGTTTTCGTTCCCATACTCCTTCGAAACGGCTTGACCGATTCTCATGAAATTTTGTGAGCGTATTGAGTAGGTCTGAGTATCGGCCAACATCTATTTTTCATCTCCCTAAATGTTAGGGGTAGTCCACCCCTTTTTTTTTTATTTTTTAGCCAAAATTATTAGTTTCTATTTTTTTATGATACAACATACAAAAATATATACAATCCTAAATTTTCACCCTTCTATCATCAACCCCTATTTTTTTATAGCGTTATTAATTTATATGGCAAAACAACGTTTGCCGGGACAGCTAGTAACAAATAAACGCGAAAGTTTGTGAATATGGATGTCTGTTACTTTTTCAAGCAAAAACTACTGAAGTGCCTTAAACGTTGTTCAGCCATTACAAAAACTTAATGAAAAGGTAACAAACATACAGACACGAAACAAGATAATTTGTATTTATCCAACTAATATTATAAAGCGAAAGTTTTTGAGTATGCATAGATGTTTATTCTTTCGTGCAAAAACTATTGAACTGGTTTTGAAGGAGTATCTATATCTATGGTTATAAGAAAAAGTAACTCTCTCTTGTCTATGTATCCGATCTATGTCATGGATACAATTAATATTAGGTAAATAAAAAGGTTAGGCTATTATTGAGAGGCCTAATATTCTAACAGGGATATTTCTCTTATTTACATAATACATCCCTAACGATTGAGTGCGAGCAAAATAAATGAACGATTACAAAACATAGATACAGATAAATCTATTTCTTTGAATAATAATGTCAGGGGTCTAGAGGTTACGTTTTATGATACATTCAATTTCAAAATACAGCCATGAAATATACTTATGTTTGAGGTTAAATAAACAATTCTAATGAAATGATTATCTACGATTTGGGAATTAGCTGGTAGAAAATGTTATCTATATGTTTCTGTGTATTTGTTTGTGATGTAGTGGACTCAGTGTTGTTGCTATGTTGGTCACTTACTACTAATTTCAAACGATTTATTTTTAATCATGCACGTTATTAGATAAACTTATAATTAGATAGGTATTTATTTATATGTATACTAACTGACCATATAAATTGAAATCGCTAAAATATAGGGCTTGTTGGTATAAGGCTGAAAGTGTAGGATTATAACCTATACCTATATATTATATTAATGCCACATTACACAATTTATTTTTTTCTAAAAATAAAAAAAAATGTTAGGGATGAACAACCTTTTACACTTCGGGGTATGAAAAATATATGCCCAGTGGTTCCCAAATACTTTTTGCTGCGTACCACTTCAAAAAAGACCTCAAACCTTGCGCATCCCTTATTCTAGCAGTCACACTAATATTACGAATGCAAAAGTTTGTGAGTGTGTTTGTTTGTTTTACTGATAGCCGCACGTCCGCACGTCCGCCCCTGGGGGTACACGTACCACTAATTGGGAAACACCGTAGTAGCCGATTCTCTAAAATATAAAAAAGTCAAGCCATTTGGGAAGAGTATGGTAACTAAAATTGTGACACGAGAATTTTATATATAAGAAGATATATTTTATATACAAATTAGATATATCTATGCTAATATTTTAAAGAGTTAGCGTTTGTGAGCTTATAGGAGTTATCTCTGGATCTACTAAACCGATTTTAACATTGGAATCTGGAATTGCCCTTCTGAAAGACTAGGAAGACTATTGTCAAGAATTTCCGTAACTTACGCGATATGGGTGGTTTTTGTGTTTCTCAGACGTTAGATTATATTATCAAAGTGTTAATGGATCCCTAACATTTATGAACATACTCTATAGCATATTCATCTGGTATAATGTAGGATTAGGTAGAAAAAATCTTCGAATCGATAATTTCGAAGTCTATTCAATGCAAACAAACGTTCAAATCTTTCTTCTTTATAATAAAAGTAATAATAATCTCAGGACAATTCACACAGCGCCATCTAGACTCAAGTTAAGCTAGATAAAGCTTGTGTTATGGGCACTAGATAACTGATACAAATACATTTTTTTCTTTCGTATATACACATATTATATATAGAAAACTTCGATACCGATACAAACAATCGTACTCATGAATACAAATGTTTGAGCCGTGCTAGGAATCGAACCCGATCATCAGGAGTACGGTGGTATGCTAAACCGCTAGACCACCGAGGTCTTTATATTAGTGAAGACACAATGTGAGTTCTCTAAATATAGAATAGACGCAATAGTAAGTGAGAAATGGTTAACCCTACTTACTATTATTGTCAATGTCAATTTAGAAGTACCTATAGACGAGGCAGACGTACCTACATATGTATCTGCGGATCTTATATACTTACCGAACAGGAAAATAGTGTATTCAATCCGTGATTCACTTTGTCTGCGCGGGATGTCCCTTATTAAATAGAATAAGTGGTATAAATTTGTTATGAGAACTTTGTTTGCAGTTGTATTAGGTACAAAGACAAGCACTGCTGTTTTGAAATTATTCCAGGTATGTCAACCATATGGTGGAATGTAGGGGGTTATCCAAACCTGCAAGACAAACCCATAAGGCGGATAGGGTTTTGGTTTTAGGTCACTGCTAGGCTTGCTAACCTGATCTCAGCTGTAGCAAGAATAATGTGAATTAATAAACCCATTGCTAGCAATATACCTTGTCAGAGCTGACCTTCTATTCATCTTATATCATGCTGGAAACCATCGTGATAAATTCCTGGAGAATTTGTCACGATGGGCTAACTGGCCTGATCTCACATTCATCTTTATCATCCTCCACTGGTACCCGTCAGCGTAAACCGTCACTGATGAAGGATTCCTTTTTTTTTTTTGTGAATAATAGTGGAATGGTGCACTCGCCTGCGCTAACGGTTTACGCTGGCGGGGCACCAGTGGAGGATGATAAAGATGAATGTGAGATCAGGCCAGTTAGCCCATCGTGACAAATTCACCAGGAATTTATCACGATGGTTTCCAGGGGGAATCGCGTGGAGGTCAACCTGACATGGTACATTGCTAGTAATGGGATCATGAGTCCACATAACTAACAATCGCCATCACCCCTCCACCGTACCGTTATCATCCCCTAAAAAACCTCATCTCAGCGGGGGGAATGCGATTATTAGTCACTAACTAATATGTATGTAATGATATCATTACTAGTATGGTCAGGTTAGGCTTACCCACACATAAGAACTGGTATATTCTATGGACCTAATGAAAGTATTTGCTACCCACTCACTGGCTTAACTGGATCGATCAGAGGTGTAGTTATTTGCAATGTCCATTACAGAAAAGTATAGACTCGTGCAAGGACTGTGCTTGTCAATGAATACGAAACAAATTAAGGAATCAGGTATGAAATAATACAACAGATATAATTTGAATATTGAACCATTTATTAATTAATTTACTACATTAAACCTCAGCAAGCTACTTATAATATAAGAACCATGATTGTATAACGTTGGTCTCTAAAATTAGTTAGACTAAATTTAGATTGAGACAATTCGGAAGCGAGCACAGAATATTCCAAAAGAAGCGTGAGACAGTTTTGGCACCATTTCCATTCATGAAATATAGAAATCAGATTATATTTTGAATTGGAACTGGATTATTAAGTTAAATAAAATTATTATTATCAGTATGAGTATAGTCTAATGCCGTGAGGCGTCTATCGGTGGTACCGGGTTATTCTGCGGCGGTGGTGCTTGACCCTGACTTTGTTGGGGTTGACCCTGACCCTGTACATTCCCTTGGGGTACTCCCTGTCCTTGTACAGGTTGTACTTGAGCTTGGACAGGTGCAGCCGGAGGGGCCTGTCCTTGATTTGTATTTACTGGTTGCGCTTGCTGAGGTGCTTGTTGACCTTGAGGTTGACCTTGGGGTTGACCCTGGTGCTGTTGTTGTACCTGTCCTTGGTATTGCTGCTGGGATTGACCCTGTTGTTGAGGCACCTGTCCTTGGTACTGTTGCTGAGATTGACCCTGTTGTTGAGGTATCTGTCCTTGAGGTTGACCTTGTTGCTGAGGTGGCTGTCCTTGGTATTGCGCCTGAGGTTGACCCTGATGCTGTGGTACTTGTCCTTGGTATTGACCTTGGGGAGGTTGATATTGCTGGTAGCCTTGTTGAGGAACTTGACCGGGGTGCTGTTGGTAACCTTGAGGTATTTGTCCGGGCGCAGGCTGATAACCTAGTAGAAAACAATATTATATTATATGTATAGTAGTGATATAGTACAGTCAACTACATAACTATAGTTAGACGACATAATGGTCAGGTAGTAAAGTCTAAAATCTAACTTGACACTCAATTTATCATATTATTGTATACTAATAAACTCGTTTTAACAGTAGTTTATTGTCAGTTTTTCCCAATTGAAGTAGGTATCCGAGGAATCTGAGGAACATGGTAGGAAAAAAGGAAGGTGGTAGGGATACACTAAAACAAATTAGTAGCAAAAAAAGTCCTATATGCATAAATTATTTTGAACTTCACTAACATGTTCATACTTAGTATTCCAATCAAACTGCTTCCAGTTATAAATTGCGATTTTTTTGTAAAATATTAATACATTTTATACATTTTCTCACACTGGTGTGAATTATTTTTTATATACATTTAATTTATATAAGCAGGTAAGTTAAAGTGTTGAAGGTTGATGATTTCCGTGAATAAATTCTCATCATAATGAAGTATAAAGAAAAATATAATTAGATTATATATTTTACAATAAAACAAACAACATGAATGTTTCATCGTATATATAAAATTCTCGTGTCACAGTTTTCGTTCCCATACTCCTCCGAAACGGCTTGACCGATTCTCATGAAATTTTGTGAGTGTATTGAGTAGGTCTGAGAATCGGCCAACATCTATTTTTCATCCACAATGTTAGGGGTAGTCCACCCCTAATTTTTTTTTATTTTAAGGCAAAACATCGTTTGCCGTGACAGCTAGTTTCAGTATAAAATCATATACAATATAATGTGATGCTGAATACGAAAGGTATTTTAGATCAATTTTTCGTACTTTAATAAAACTACTTCCTTCGTATACTTATCTTTCCTTATATAAATTTGTCTACTGTTTATTCTAATCTTAAACATCGATATGAAAACGCAGCCGCAAACTTGTCTATACTTAAGTTACTATATGTTTTTCGATAATCTATACAATATATATAATATTGTATAAAACCAAACTTAATTTAATAGTCATTCTATTAATTACCCAGTTACTGTATAAATTACTTGAACATGTGTTCATATCACATATGTTACAAATGTGTTGGTATAGGTTGGGAGTAACCCGAATGAAACCTTGAATTAGTGCTAATTGGTGGTTTGTATTCACACACTTAAACTTAAAAATGTAAAGTAATAATAAAATTATTTAAAGGAGCAACACGCAAGTTTCTTACTCGTTCTTCTTGTGATGAGACAGCTTTCCGAATGAGCGGTAGATTAAAAAATGTAATGACTATTCTAAAGTGCTTCAATGTAAGTTTATTTGAATAAATGATTTTCTATTCTATTCTATTCTGACTTTGAGGATGACGCAGCTGGAATCGAGTCATAACGCTAGTTTCAAGGCGTTTGTGGCCCGAATTCCCACCAACATGCTGCCCACCTTCATGAAGGAGGGCAGCATACTGGTGGGAACATGAGTCTGTAAGGTATTTATAATAGTCATTAATAGCTTGTATTGATAAAATAAATAAAATAAATAGGCATATAATGATTAGGAATGAAGAGAATATTTTAAAGAAAGTGTTATATGTGAATGAAAGATAAGGACAGAGGAAGGCCGAGACAGAGATGGATGGACTGTATGAAAGATGATAGAGAAACAGAGGGAATTAATAGCACGATGATTACGAATAGGAATAGAAGAGAAAAACATATTACGCCGATCCCTAGGGATACGGAAGTAGATTATCCACAAATATACTAGTGCAATAATAACCAACCTTGTGGTGCTTGACCTTGAGGATAGTATTGTTGTCCATGATGTGGGGGCTGCTGATACGGCTGCTGTTGATATTGAGGATGCTGCTCGTAGCCCTGATGGTGAGACCCAGGAATTGGGCGACCATGTGCATCAACCTGTCCAAAACAACCATGTTTAAAGGATAATGCCGTCAAATAGTTATACTATACATTTCGTTTAAAGAATGAGCCAATGCCAATTTTTTTTATTTAAGATATGGATGTTATATTTTTTTGTAAATGTATACATAATATACATAGATATATTACGTGTCAATTTACAAAAAAATAAGCCTCTTTTATCAGTTGTCTAGTACATATTATACAAGTTCCGCTTAGCTTTGGATTAGATGGCGCAAAAGACAAAAAAGCACAAGACTAAATAAAACAATCACACTCAATGAATACAAATATTTGTACCAAATGATATTTGAACCCGCAACCATCTGAAGAAAGTGGTGTGGTGGTTTAATCTTATTGTATATTTATATTTGACCCAAATAAATTTGTGCTGGTTGGTAGTTGGGTTCACACGTTTCGACTTGTGAATGTAAACTTACAAGGATTATTTAAAAGAGTAACACACAAGTTTCTTGCTCGTTCTTCTTGTGATGAGACAGCTTTGCGAACGAGCGATAAAAAAATGTTATGACTATTCAAAAGTGCTTAAATTAAGTTTATTTGAATCAAAGATTTTCTATTCTTCTATTCTATTTTAGAGAAAATGTACTCACCGATGCTATGCACCGGCCACCGAGGCCGTCAAATGAAAATAGCACCAACTACTATGAGTATTTAAAAAAATATTACTCACCAATCCGCGTTGTTGCAAATATCTCAACTCTTCGAGCCTCCTTCTTTCGTATTCTTCGTACTCTGCTTGTGTGTAGATTTGATTTTCGTCAATAGACTTCCAGCCTGAAAACATATTATGCACCTAAAATAGCAAACAAGATGACGGTCTAATGGCGACTAGTCGCCTAAAGATCATGTCATCATTTGACGTCCATAGTATCTCTCAAAACTTCAAGCTTTTGATACGATAATGAAACACTCAAGAAGAGATGTTTTTCCTTCTTAAAAGGCCTTCAACGCTAACATACAAGTATACAAAATTAAAGGAAAGGGGAATATTAGACTAGTGGTCCCATTGCTAGCAATATACCAAGTCAGGTACTGGACTAGTGATCCCATTCCTAGCAATATACCAAGTCAGGTTGACCTCCATGCGGTTCCCCCTGGTTCCTGATAAACATTAGCATTTTCCACTATGGGCTAACTGACCTAAACCCCATTCTCATCTTATCCTCTTCCACTGGTGCCCCGCCAACGTAAACCGTGAGCAGGGAGGACCATTAATTGTAATCCAATAAAAAAAAAATAGACAAAATTATGTCATCCACATAAATTCCTTCAGTTTTGGTAACCATAAAAATAAAAAAGTATACCTTCATCCTGATTGAAATCAGCCTTCTGCGTCTCCATCATGAACTCGTTGAAGTCAATGAGACCGTCATGGTTTTTGTCATTCTCCTTGAACACGTGTTCGCGCATGCGCTCCATCTCTTCAGCTCGCTCATGCAGGTCTTTGTTGGGTCCGCCGGGTCCATACAGCTTGTCCAACTCCTTAATGAAGAGGGCCTTTACTTCATCAGCGTCCCATGCACCATTACCATCCACATCTATGATGACAAGAGTTTAATTTATCTGACCTCTATGCAGTTTTATTATATGTAATGTACTTTACATTTACACGTAACATATATATTTTAAATATATTTATATTATATAATAATACTTCTCTGGATAATTCACGTCATCCCAAGCTAAGCAGAACCTGTACTAGAACATAGATTTGTTTATTTAAATACATACATAACATAGAAAACAAATGGACCGACACAATTATACCTACCTATGAATACAAATGCTTGTACCGTGCGAGGAATCGAACCCGCGACCATCGAAAGTAAGCGATGTGCTAAACCGCTAGACTACCGAGGTCGTCATATATACATCAATACAGGTCAATAATATGGAATGAAGATAAGGGGATTAATAATGTGGACTGATAAGCCTATTGCTAATGTACTATGGTAGGTTGACCTCCACGCGGTTCCCCTTGGTAACTATCATGGTAAATTTGCCACAATGGGCTGATCTGATCTGGCCTCATGTTCATTATCTACCACGTTGGCCCGCCTGCGTAAGCCGCTAGTGCAGGCGGGTGCTCTCTTCTCCATTATTGTCCATTACAAAGAAATATATAAAGGTGATAAAATTCATACGCTGATTAAAAAATATGACAAGGTCACAAGGAACTCTAATATGTTAAAAAGAGAATGAATCTTTTATGGAAATTTGATTATAAACAAAGTTACAAACATAAATTTTGGATACTGTTTAGGAAGAATGTGTCATTTCAGATTTTTTTATATAAATTAAAAAGTTTTAATAGTTATCAGAACAAAAGAAACTGTATAAATTAACAATCAAAACTACAAGTAAATGGAATTTTGTAACATAAACAACTTCAGTAGTTTTTTGTTCATGAAATAAAATCCGTGGAGAACACAACAGTAGAGAACAAATAATATAAAATATTAAATACAAAACGTGAGAAAACAGTGCCAAAAAACTGTAATATTATGTTAAAATTGAAGAAAACAAAATGACATCAACTCTGCAAACTGTTTGAGTTAATTCGTGCCATACATATGTGCTTTTCGTGTATCTGTAAATTCATATAACCCACTATATATTCTTGACTGTATATTGGATATCTTTGAAGTACCTGATACATATTTAATGTTCTATGTTATATTAATATACTATTACGTCTCTAAACTAATATAATTTTTCTAAAATAACAGTAGCTTAAGTTACTCCTTATTACATCACCTACCTGCCAATAAAAGTTCAAAAAGTTCAAGTCAAAATCAGTCCAGCCATTTTAGAGATTGGCCGGAACAAACAGACCGACAGACAGACAGACAAAAATTGTAAAAAAATATATTTTGGTGTATGTACCATATTTATATTCATATGCATGTAGTACAAAACGGTTATTTCAATATTACTAACAGGCCCTCCAATTTAATTTATATGTATAGATAATAATACTCCCAACAGTAATGCTTGTAATAATATTTGTATTTATTCAATGATATTATAAATTAATATAGCATTAAGTATACGCTATGACTTTTCTCACCTTAAACTTATGCTTTTATATGCATTATTATAATGATGTTCAAAATCGAGAGCGCTCAATGCTCGCTGTTCAAGTACGAGCAGAATTTCTTACTATTTCATGTCGACTCAAACTACATCCCTATTCGATGGTAAATTTAATTACTCACAAGCTTTATTAATAGGCCTATATGATGCATTTTGATTTGACGTATAAATGAAAAACAAACAACTCTCGTGACAATACATGCTTAAAAAAACACAAGCAAAACGAAAAGCGTCATTATGAGAACTACATGTATAATTGTGAATAATAATGTCATTAATAGTTTCCACGTATGACGCTAGATGGCGTTAGTGAACAATATAAAAGGCGCTGTTAAGATTTTTTGTGTTCAACATGCGATACAGTAAAATCCCAAATAGCGTGCTGACTTCACACAAGATGAAATCTAAATGTTGGTCCGCCTACTTACTATGTCCTATGCTACCTACCTATATGCTTGCACGCTATACACCTTACCATGCATCATGAAAAATATTCTTGGGTTGAAATCTTTTGCTTCCATATTGTCAGCTTTTTTCCACATTTCTAATAACTGTTGCCTTGTGCCAGGATGGTGGAGCTGCCACAGACAATAAAGTTAATAATCATAGATAAACTCACCATGCATCATGAAGAAAACTTTAGGGTCAAATTGTTGATCCATATGATCCTGTTTCTCCCAGACCTCCTCGAGTTGTGGTTTAGAACCGGGGTGGTGGAGCTGTGTTGTATGAAATGCATGATGTTTATTTCTAACTAGTTTATGGTACATAAATATTAAATGAACATATATGTAAATACACATAAATTAATAAAAAAAAGCATGTAAGCGCTTCACTTCAGCGCCTCTTTGGCTAATTCTTTTATTATTGTGTTTAGTGCCATGAAAAGGTTTGCTGGAGAAAAATAATAAATTATTGTTAAGCACTACTTCTCAAAACAAAGCATGGTTATACAAATCTATCTTCGTAAACTATGATTAACGTCGTTGGTAATACATTTAAAAATACTTAAACTTATAACAACCTGTACATGGGGGAAGGTGATTGTTAGTAATGGGAACCCCCATTGCTAGCAATCATTGTACCATCTTAAGTCGACCTCCACGCGGTTCTTCCTGGAAACCATCGTGATAAATTCCTAGTGAATTTGTCACAATCCAACTGACCTGACCTCATGCTCATCTTATTACCCTCCACTGGTGCCCCGCCAGCGCAAACCGTTAGCGCAGGCAGGTGCACCATTCCATTATCATGATGAAAAAAAAAACAACCTGTATATATATACTAATAATAATGTTTTACTGTTTGTTAGTCCTAATAAATGAAAAAAAAGTAGATAATAAGAAAAATCATACAGAGCACTAGAATATTGAATAAAAATTCCTCATAAAAACAAAATATTAACAAGATTGACAGATTGACGTTCAGTTTCTTTTATAATAAATTTTTATTTGTCTCAAACAAAATCTAATACAATTGTTGTCCAAAATATAAATTAATAATTCAAAATTTAAAACTAATGAAGGAGACAAAACGGTCTATAACTCAGTGAGGGCAGTGAGTCCACCCTCTCTGCTATTCTGTTATAGCCTTTATCAGTAAAATAATACAATATGAGATCGACGACGACGATAGCACATTAAGTTAAGTTCTAAACTACAACTAACAAAATTATGTAAACAGATGGACATCATCTGTGCATACAATGAATGGAGGACCTCGACGATATAGTCGTTAAACAGTTTGCCTCACCTTCCGATGGTTACGGGATATACTCTCATATAACATTTGATTTATAACTGTTTACATTAGTCAGAGATGCGTTTGCCTGTTGGTATAACGGTTTATCTCACCGCCTTGCGAAGACTCGAACCAGCGAGCAAGGTTCGAGTCTTCGCGTGATATAAACATTTATATTAATGAGTACAATTGGTATTTTCTATATATATTATGTATATATTTACAACAAAATGTACATCGGTGGTCTAGTGTCCACAGTTCAAGCTCTGCTTAACTTAGAACTAGATGGCGCTGTGTTAATTGTCCTGAGACATTATTATTATTATAGGCAACCGTTTCCATTGACCGCCAGAACCGTCAAATATTTACATAAAAAAGAACAAATCTTTATCAATTTCAATTCTGTACTTTCACAATGAGCTATGGAATAGAAACCGTAACATTATGTAGACTAGATGGCGCTGTGTTAATTGTCCTGAGACATTATTATTATTATAGGCGACCGTTTCCATTGACCGCCAGAACCGTCAAATATTTACATAAAAAAGAACAAATCTTTATCAATTTCAATCCTGTACTTTCACAATGAGCTATGGAATAGAAACCGTAACATTATGCAATTATTTACGCAACGTATGAACTTACCGCATTAGTCATATGAACATAAAGCGATAAAATGTACGTGACTCAGACTATTTGTTTCCATTTTCTAACATAAACATTACTATACTAAAACCAACTATGATTGTTACGTTGCATACATACCGTTCAATAATAAGCGATTACCCGTAACTTATATGTAACTATACTTTACGAATCGAATACCAGCTAATAATGTTAACTTCAAATTTAAATTTACCAAAACTAAATTATGTTCTATAACTTCTATACAATTAAAACTTTAACAAATCTAATTAAATTTAACGACACGGATATTTCATAATTTTTTAAACGAAATCGATTATTCAAGTAAACAATATGTTTACATTTAAACTAAAAAGGTTACTCGAAAAAATAATACAAGTTCTATATTATAGTCTAATTGTAAATTAAGCATAATTGTAAAAATAAGTGTACTTCGTCAATAAACTGACAAGCAGTTTGGCGATAATTGTAAAAATAAATTGTATACGTGTAAATAAATTTTATTGGAAACTTGGATTTATTGGAACTTTTATTGGAAACCATCTATTTTCGAGCTGCTTTATTGTGGAATAAGCTTCCATAATATAGATGCCAAGTACAAAAAAGATATTCCTTCCATTGCTACTTTTAAAAAAGGATCGAAATCTTCCAATAATCTACCAATAATTGAAGCTGTTTCAAAAACAATCATCTTATTAATATTTAATCGCTTAATGTATTTATATATATGCTTAGATCGTTTTATATTTATACATATCTGCTTTAGTATAATTAGTCACTCTATTCTCCCAATTTTGAATTTTAATGACTGTGTATTATTATAAACATGTTCCACTATTATTTGAAATAAAATACGAGCTGAGTTTCTTATCAGTTTTTCTCATCTCGATATAATTTCGAACTGACGATAGATTTGACATATCATAAGAGTCTGTAATATAATACATGAATAAAGATATTTTGAATTTGAATTTGAATTTAGTATAATATCTTTTTTATATATGTATAATATGTAGATTTATTAACCGTTTCTCATTAAATATATTAACTGTACATAGTAATACTTTTTTTGTGTATATAGAACTGTTTTACTACCATTATCCGCTAAATACATCCACTGTCACAGCGTTAGGTAGGCTGGAAGAGGTAAGCCCACCCTTTCTCACATTTTTATATATAAATATGTTGTTTCTTACTATATATATAAGTGCGTAATTTCGATTCAATTTTAATAAACCGGCCGAAATTACATTAAAAAGTACTAATTACTTACAGACAGTGGTTATATATCGATCAAAAATCAAGATTATCATAGGGATTAATTCATTTGTGGATACATTTGTTTAATCAATATTACTTCAATCAACAGCTGTTAATGTATAACAAACGCATAAATATAATTAAATCATACATTTGAGATTTTGTAATATATACAAAATACAAAACAAAAGAAGCCGAAGAAACCCCAAAAAAAAAAAAGTTTCTGTCCGAACTGACACTATAACTGAAATTCGTTTTCGGCTGTCTCTAGTCTCGATCGGAGTCTAATAATTACAGTTACAAATTCTAATTCTCAATATGAATTTTACAAAAATAATTATAATATCTCAGGACAATTCACACAGCGCCATCTAGTCCCAAGCTAAGCAGAGTTTGTGTTTATGGGTACTAGACAACTGATATAAATACATACATACAGTTTTTTTTATAAATAAATATATATTATACATAGAAAACACCCAGACCGATACAAACAATGATACTTATGAATACAAATGTTTGTACCGTGCGAGGAATCGAACCCACGTCCATCGGATAGTAAAGCGGTGTGCTAAACCACTAGACCACCGAGGCTGTCAAAAATAAAGTTAAGCTGATATTAATCCTGCCTAAGTTAATAAAATTCTTGTAGATTTCTAAACCGATTTATTTTCATATCGAAAATAATAGAAATAAAGCTAATCACTGTACTTGTCTCTATGTCATTGTTAGTACACAACTGATAGAAATAAAAATATATAAACATGGAAAACACGCGGAGTGTCACAAACAATCCTTATGAATACAAAAGTTTACATCGTGCGGGTAACGAACCCATGACCATCGGAAGTAAGATGGTGGTGACCACCGAGGCGTTGAAAGAATTCATGATTCTTTCCTTTTTTATTACTGTTACTACATTGATTAATTGCGAACAAATGATATCATACTAGCTGTGCCCGAGGTTGTATCTGTATGAAATTAGCAGCCTATCTGTTATTCTAATGTATAAGCTATATTATTGTAAAGTTTCATCAAAATACGTTCAGTAGTTTTTGCGTGAAAAACTAACAAGCATCCGTGCATCCATTTATCTATCCATACATACTCACAAACTAGTGTTTACAATATTAGTTAAGTTTTGGAAATATTTACCGGCTGATGATGCTTTTTGGCATCTTCTTCTACCTTTACTTTATCCATGTACTCCTTTTTCTGGGATTCATCCATCCCTTCCAGTTTTTGATGTTTCTCAAACTCCTTTTGCATTTCATATTCCTGAAAATTTCACATTTAAACTAAAATGAGAGAGATTTCAATGTTTGTGAAATATTATCATTGCAAACGAACAATAAATCTTCTAGAATAGCAACGCATGAACGGTACACGGATGTGGCGTGATAACGTGATGTCAGTAGTGTTGTTCATGTATATTGCTATCTACCTCTTCTATGTACGTTAGTCCAACTGCTTGTTAGCAGGTTGTCTGTAAGAAATTGCCTATAGCGATAAGATCGCCTTTTATAATTATTTTTTTTTATTTACTGTTTTCTTATTGTATTGTATGTGCACAATAAAGAGTTTTTTTTTTTTTTTTTTCTCAGCTTTTGCTGGTTTTCTCCACACATACGTGCCGAAATCAAGTAAGTGCAGAGTGTGTATATGTGTGTGCGCGTGTGTGAATGTGTGAGTGTGTGTGTACTTATTGTGTGCCTGGTGAGATTGGTGTTATATCATTATATTATTATTATTATTATATTGAATGGTTACTGTTTACCATCAAGTACACCGCTAGCATGTCTGATAAAGCATGCTATTATAAAATTTCTAGAATAATTCATTAAGATCTATGAAATATTGTCCATAATGTAACCTAATCAACCTTTCACACAAGACAGATTTAACATGAACAGAAGTAACAAATGAAATATTAATACTAGATTTAAAGACAAACTTGCAGTCCTCAAGTATCGGTGTGCTACACTGCTAGACCAACAAGACCGTCACAAATTATAAAAGGAAGAACATTTAAATATCGAACCTTAAATTCTTCTTTTCGTTGCTTGTCAGCAGCTTCTAGGTCTGCCGTTGTCTTCTTGATAAGTCTTTTCAAATCTTCAATCTCAAATGTATGTGGATTAGCATGGTCCAAATGGTCGTTGGCCGGAACTTTCCCCATATGTGCATCTAGGTTGTTAGTCAACTCGTATTGCTGTAAGGATATAGTTTAATTATTGTTGGTATTTGACAATTTCAAGGAATTCTAATCTAGCCTATTTCTAATTCGTATAACACAGTTTTGTATAACATTCAAAATGCTAATATTCTAAATAGATCTATCATATGTCACTAAAAAGGTATAAAGTAAGTCAGTCAGTTACAATATTTTATGATATATTATTCTGTTATTCAACTGACTGTATTTTAATATTATGCATACATACTATGTGGTATTAGTGTGTGGTTGTATTCACTTAAAGTATAAAGTTACAATATTAGTTTAAAAGTTCTAGACTTTTTATAAACACAAGTTTCTTGCTTCTATGTCATGTGCTGAGACAGCTTACCAAACCAGTATTAGATTAATAAGAAGCATGACTATTTGAAAGTGTTTAAATTTAAATTTATTACAATCGAGAATTTTTCTATTCTATAAGTAAAATAAATTTACCATTTCGAGTTCATAATCACTATTTCAAACTTCTTCAATGACTGAACGAATCATAACATGATGAAAACATAGATATGATATATATATATATACATATGGAACGGATTTTGTTACGAGAAAAAAAAACTCCAGAACCTACTAATAATTATTTAATTGTTTAAAAAGTAATTTAATTTATTTCCGACTGCTAGAAGCTATATTGTTTTAATATACACAAAACCCATATATAGTATAATACAGACAAAACACTGTAAAGTTATTGAATGTATATAATGGATGAGTAAATAAATTACATACAAAGCTATTGAATATCATGTATTAATAATGATTTACAGCATTTACGTATATTTACCTTCGTTGCCAAATAGCGGAGCCGCTCGAGCTCTCGGCGTTTGATCTCATCCAATTTAGTTCTTATGTTGTGGTTCACAAAGTCCAATTGATCAGCTATTTTGCCAGACTACAATAAATAATATTGTGTTAATGAAAGTCATGCTTCTATTCCATGTAATTTTATTGTTACATGTCAAATTTCGTTCGAACCGAAACTTTAAGACAATTGCTTAGTGATAGAAATCTATACATATAAAATTGGAGTGTCTGTTTGTAATATTGAAATAACCGCTTTTTACTACATGCATATGAATATAAATACGGTGCATACACCAAAATAATATTTTTTACAATTTTTGTTTGTCTGTCTGTAGGTCTGTTTGATCCGGCTAATCTCTGAAATGGCTGGACCGATTTTAATGGGACATTTTTTGGCATGTAGCTGGTGTAATAAGGAGTAATTTAGGCTATTTCTATTTTAGAAAAATAATGTTCAATTTCACGCGAACGAATTCGCGGGAACAGCTAGGTAGATAATAATAATAAGTTTATTGTACAAACAAAACAGTTACAAAATGGACTTAACTAAGTTTCTATATCTAATTCCATATATAATGCATGTAGTTCTTAAAAACTGTCTAAATCAGATGTGCCGTATGCTTGTATGCCACCATAGTAGTATAAAAAAAAACAAGTTAATAAGATAAGACAAACCCACTTAGACGACTTATTGCAAAGTCTATTAGAGTACCATTTAGTATTATAATCTATTTATAATTATTTCTTTATTATTATACTCGTGAAAGGTTGCTGCTTGTAGAGACTTACCTGCTCTGACAACTAGGACTGTTTTATATTGTTACTCAAGTAATTGGATAGTTATTGTTTATTTATTTATATACTTTATTGCACCAGAAAAAAAAATATTTTATTTATATAAATATATATATACAATCATAAGTACAAAGGCGGTCTTGTCGCTAAGCAATCTCTCACAGACACCCTCTAGGTAGACGGTGAAGGTATATGAAAAAGAGTAGGTGGTGCAAATAACAACACAACTAATATATAAATAATACATGCAAATATACATAAATATAAATATACATATATATGTATATACCTACATAGACATACATAAATTTAATAATACACATATCCATTAAAAGTTTGAAGGAAAGAAAGGGATTACAAAAAAAGGAAATATAGAAGTATTTGTTAAAAAAATAGAGAAAAAATAGAGTTATTTGAGAAAAAATAGAGTTATTTGAGTAGTAAAATGAATCAGCCATTATAAATTAGTAAAAATAAATGAATATTTATTTATGTCAACTGGGCTATATGGCAGTATGTATACACACAAAATTCGTAAAAAATTAATTCTGAATATTTATGTAAAAGAACAACACTAAGTTTCTTGCTCGTTATTCTTGTAAAAAATCTTCTTTCCGAATGAGTGGTAGAATCAATAAATATTAAAATATATACAAAAGTACTAATGTTAAGTTTATTTGAATGAACAATATTTCTATGCTATTCATGGACAAGCCAATATGATTAGCATGACCATATGTCGTGGAAAACACAAGTATGACTAAAAAGGGCAGTTAAATAAATGTATCAAATAATATTACGCTTATTAGACAACTGATATATACATATATACATTTTTAAGTAAATACATAATAATGTATATAAAAAGCACTCAGACCGATACAAACAATTATTACTCAGGAATACAAATGTTTGTATTGTGCAAGAAATCGAACCGCGAAAGTTAAGCGCTGACGCCGACAAATTTATGGTGTTCATGCATATATGACAGTTGTCATTTGTCTTAAGATGGCCCTTCAATTCGTTTACCATCTGTTATATACAAAAAAGACAATAAAAAGTTGACTATCAACATTTTAGAATTCTAATAATAAGAAAAGTGCAAAACAAAATATTGGCCATATGATTGTTTTCCAAAGTCCTAGTATAAAAAAAATTGTACTTGAAATATTATAACATTTGTGTACTAACCCTTACGTCTTCTACGTCAGCTTTCTCTAATCTCTCCCTAAAGTCAGGATCACTTTCTAGAGCTTGTACAACTTCCTTTAGGTACCTGTGATATTCCATATACTCCTCCTGCAACATCAAAAACGTAAATAATAATAATAATCTCAGGACAATACACACAGCGCCATCTCGGAGCAAGTTAAGCTAGCTAAAGCTTGTGTTATGGGTTCTAGATAACCAATACAAATATATAGATAGATTTTTTTTGTAAATACATTATATGTTATACAAAAACACCCAGACCGATACAAACAATCATACTCATGAATACAAATATTTATGCGGTGCAAGGAATCGAATCCGCGACCATAAATTTATACCTATATGTTGTTGTCTGTCACAATGTTTATTTAATATTAAAGTTCTGTATACAAAAAATATATAATAAAATTCTTTAGAAAAATATAATATATGAACTATAAAAGTATGTGGCAAGTACGACAGCAACAATATAAATAAAATTAAAGTAATTGTTTGTAATATTAAAATAACCATTGTTTACTACATGCATATGAATATAAATACAGAACATATACCAAAATAACATATTTTTGTTCAATTTTCGTCTGTATGTCTGTCTGTCTGTTTGATTGTTCCGGCTAATCTCTGAAATGACTGGACCGATTTTGTTATTGGCAGGTAGCTGATGTCATAGTAAATGTAGGCTTTTATTTTAGAAAAATAAAGTTAAATTCCACGCGTAGTCGCGAGTACAGCTAGCTATAATATAAATTGAAATAAAGTAGGCCATTGTTCTCCAATTTAAAATAATAATTAAACGCAGGACAGTTCACACAATGCCAAATAGTCTTGAACAAAACAACGCTTCAATTTGTATAATCTAAATAGGCATACACAGTTATTATTTTTGTGTTAGCCAGATTTGAACGCGCGACCGGTGTAAATTAGGATAGTAAACCACTAGGCCAGGAAACATTCATCGTAAAAAGCAAGATTTAATAAAATCATAGTATGTATTAAACATTATACACGAGATCGCGATACAGTTTAAAAATAGCTTTCATAGCGTTTATTGAACTGACAGTATAAAAACTAGATCACAATGACCCTGAACGTTAAATATCAAATGTTAATTGCTTTAAAAGTATACTATTTATTCTTATCTCAGAAACTTGTTTATCATACGTATAAAGAACAGATATTACCAATGTTTTATGATTTTAAACTAGTCTCAATACATCTATACATATATGTAAATAAAATTGGAGTGCCAGTTTGTAATATTAAAATAACCGTTTTTTACTACATGCATATGAATATAAATACGGTACATACATCAATATAATATTTTTTTTTAATTTTTATCTTTTTGTCTATTTGTTCCGGCTAATCTCTGAAATGGCTGAAAATCCGGAAATCCGGAAATCTCTGATTCTGACGGAACTTTTTGGCAGGTGGCTGATGTAATAAGGAGTAACATAGGCTACTTTTATTTTAGAAAAATAAAGATAATTCCACGCGGACGAAGTCGCAGCTAGTAATAAATAAGAAGATTGAAGAAGATGTTTAAACTCAAACTCATTATTCATGTAAGACCATTTCCTTATTTTTTCCCCCTACTATTTCTTATTTCTTTTTGCAGTTGCACTTTTAGCAATTAGTGCAGGATTAACTAGACAACTGTAATTGACTAGCGACCTTAGCTCACCAGTGGAAATTTTTTCATTGTCTCTCACACCTATTAGATTTTAAGAAATGTCTTTATTTATGTATTTACAGACATCTTGTGGAGATATTTTATTTATAGATATCTTGTATAGATATATATATTTATATTTTGGAAATATAATTTCATAATCCTTCAAATTGTTAGAACATTTTGTTTTAGTTAAACAATACCTATAGATGAGTATTATAAAGAAAATGTTGTATTTAATTTAAAGTATGGTTACACTATCACAAACTTATCTGATCCGGTAGGCGAAATTAATGCAAAAACCGCGACAATTTTGCAACTACTCAAAATTCAATAATAGCAACACATTTAGTGGGGTTTTTATAGACGGAATGGTTCTCCCGGAAACCATCATAAGTCCCTGGTGAGTCCCCGCCAGCCTACGGCCTAACAGACTATCTACTATACTATTGGATAGGATGATGAGATATTAGCTAGCAATCAGATTATCAGTTAACATTACTAACAATCCTCTTTCCTACACAGTAACCAGGTAAGGTAAGTTCAGGGAATTCTACAGTATTACAAATAAAATGGTAACAATCAACTGAAACTTAAAAATAAAAGTACTCTTACCAAATTGTCTTTGACTTCACTGTCTTCATTGGATTTGTCTGGGGAAACCGGGGGTGCATAAGAACCATGGAGTATCACCAGAAGAAATATTAATCCGGGTAACAATCTCATTGTGATCTGAAAAAAAGTATAATTAAAGCTAAACAAATCTCTACACTTCCCTAAGATTGAGTAGTAGAGAATATCATATCTTTAAGTCCACCTTATGCAGTATAATTTATAGTAAGAAAGAGATAAATATTTTATTGATTACTAATAATGCAGATATACAGGTGGGAGGATGATATAAGGGCAGTGACGGGATCAACATGGAGAAAGAAAACGTTGGACAGAGGAACCAGGAGTTTTTGGGAGGAGGCCTATGTCATAGGACAAGCTGATGAACTTATCATCACCACAAAGACTATAAATAAATAAAAAATAAATAATATACATATATTCATATACACAAAATAATTATATATCTAACCTATCCATCAGTTTAGAATAACACATAACATTATTACTTGACAACATTGCCGACACTCAGCATACGCCGAGCCACATAGCTGATGTTGTATATAAGCTCTTAATTACAAACATGGTTCACTGATTATCCCTGTATCGGGGGGAAAGGGATTGCTAGTAATGGGAACTAGTAATTCCCATTGCTAGCAATGTACCATGTTAGGTCACCCTCCACACGGTTCCCCCTGGAAACCATTGTGATAAATTCCTAGTGAATTTGTCACGATGGGCTAACTGACCTAACCTTCATACTCATCTTATCATCCTCCACTGGTGCCCCGCCAGCGTAAACCATTAGCGCAGGCGGGTGCAACATTTCATTAGCATCCCCCAAAAAAAAAATATCTCTGTGTCTTCACTCCTTTTTTTATTAAGGGGTTGGAGCTAACTTGGTGCTAAAGACTTGTAGCACTGCAACCTGAATAGATCTATTGTGCTTGCACTTTTAAGAGTAAGCTGCCCAGGCCCATCAAGAACTGTGGGATATTCTTAGGAGAGATGCTTTTTAACTGCTCTGTATAGACTTTACTTTCCAAAAGGAGATAATTTGTTTATGCATGAGTGGGCTACAACCACATAGGATGTGTAGTGATGTTTCTTCTTCCATTATGCATAATCTGCAAATCTGCCTACACCCTTTGATGCAGGAAGATAAAGCAATAAATAAAAGTGTCAAGATCAATTCCTAATTTGTTGGTATGGCACAGTTTAAAGGGTTATGTGGCTGGGTACAGAGGTATAATAGCTTAGTCCTAAGTAATAGAGATGAGTAAGAAGTACCAAGTACCATGAAAAAGTAGGTGATTACACTAATAAAAGTTTACATAATGTCAATAAACTAGTTTTACCTAAGTGCCATTTGATGAAAGTCAGTAAATCGTTTTATGGAAATTGCGTAAGGTTTTACAACAAACTCCCGGAGTCTGTACTCAATTTGCCAGAAAAAAAATTCTAATGGGTCATAAAATATTTTCTTTGTAAACATGCTTATTATAAAATTGAAGAATTTATAAATGATAATAATGTTTTTGTAGAAAATATCTAACTTAAAATTCATAGCCCTGACAATGTTATCTGATTGAACAGAGATTCAGTTTCTATGTTGATTATCGCATGCCTAATCCTTGTTGTTAATTAAATATAAGTAAATCAATATTTATTTAAAAGAGCAACACACAAGTTTCCTGCTTATTCTTCCTGTGATGAATTTGCATTCCGAAAAAGCGGTGAAAAAACTTGACTATTCAAAAGTGCTTATATTAAGTTTATTTAAATAAAGATCATTTCTATTTCATGGAATGGCATGATGTCCATTGTGTGTATAAATACATAGATACGTAGACAACAGGCACTGTTGAACAGTAGTACAATTTTCCCCTCAATTTGCAACAGTGTTGCAGTAGTAGGGGAACACCGTTACTATGGCAATGAAATTACTGACAATTGCATCCTTGTCCTCCGTAATAGATAAAGTACATGATGGGTGTCACATAATGAACTATTGCCTGTGGTGCTATACATATTTATTAGATATATATATATATATCTGACATTTACCATTTAGTGTTGTAAGGTTGTTTTCTATTACACATATATACAGAAACATCTAAAAATAATTTAATATATACAGCTATATAATTTCAACAGAATATCTCATTATTCTTTGTTTTTTGTATATTCAGATAATCTGGCGGCGGAGTCGCGGTAGACTGCTACTAGATCCCGCGACTTATGTATGTCGTTGGATGACTAAAAACTACAATTCTCCCAATTGTAGTTTTTAGTGAGTAGAAGTCCCACATTGCCTATTTGCATCTCCCGCGTCGGGCGTGTCTCTATGAGGATTTTCTCCAAGTAGAAAAAAACAGTTCAGATAATTAGAAACATTGCTTAACAAGATAGGCTTTCAGTAAACACATTCTTACAGATGTCCTATTTTTTTTTTAGAATGCTAGAATACAAAGACTATGACAAATCAACAAATATTCTGAGAACAGTAATATTAACAATATACTTAATTATCTTCGACTTGGACAATTATGATGACAAATTACTAACATTAATTACAGGTTTTCCCCGAAAATAAAAATGAGGAAAATCTAAATAATAATTAAAAAAATATTCCTAATTTTGTAATAATTACTACACAATTTAGATCACAATTAGACATACCCAATATCTTTTTAAAACCACATTATAAGTTTTAAAGGATATTGTATGAAAACCTAGATTTCGCAATGTAGACAGTTAATGAGGAAATAAATCATTATTTGTGTCATAACTCTATTCATTTCTACTCACCCACAAGTTTTCAATAATAATTATTATAAAATAAAAATAAATAAGTTTTACAAAAACCACTACAAGAACACAAACGATAATTTAGTGATAAAAATATCTAAATAAATACACTCGTTTTAAACATACCTACAAGAATAGATTAATTGACGTGTCCTAAAACTAAAGGCGAAAAGAAATGACAGAATTGACAGCTTAATGCAAACAAAGAATGACTAATGACAGAATTTTGGTACTACTCTGTGTGTGAATGACATATGACTGACAGATTAGTTACTGTCAAATGTATGGTCCTTAAGGTGACTAGCCACATTGTCCTGTCCCTGGCGTCGAAGCATCGTATGCCTGCTTCTTAAGTTAACGACGCAAGCATGCCAAGCATGCGTATGAAGAACGAAATTTCAGAGATTTCCCTTAAGATTTCCTGTGACTACTCACCAGTATCGCTCGACGCAAGGCACCACAATACACTTTTCTTCACAAGCAGTCACTAGAAATGTCGGTACCCAATTCTCCTACTGAACATTGCGAAAAACGAACCAGTTTCCTAATTAATTGGTAAACGAGGACCGATAACGCAAATGCTTGCAGTATTTAGTTATTCTCTTAGGACTAACGCGCTTTAGACGCTGGGACTTTAATAATCCATTAGCATACATAATTACAACGTACCTATAATCGGACGAGCTTTTACATTTTGTAGATGTTAATCGCAGTAACAACGCGACTTGCCAATCGGTATTTACTTCAATTCGTATAGAAAATACAAATTTATATTCAGATGCGTGGAATGAGAAACTAGGCGATATAGAAGTGCGGTGCCGCGATTGCATCTGGGAATCTGGGTCATTCTAGGTGCTGTTTGAGGCCGTTTGCATCCTCCCGCATGCAGCCGTTCCCCTGTATCGCCCGGGACGTTCTCGGGTGCAGTGATGTGCAAGATTTAGTGATGCTCCACAAGCTAATTGAATTACTATTTTCGTATCGACATGAACAGGAAGTTATTAATTTAATTTATTCCGGACGGACGACTTGCCGTTCACTAGCCAAAGTTATTGATTTTCCATCTAAGTTAGTTTTAGTGATAGGCGAGATAAATGTGTGGGTGATTTGTGGAAATTGAAGCTAAGGGTTTTCACCATCCATGTAGACCTAAAAATAAGAACATAAGTTTTCTGACTAAATTAGGCATGAAATCTAGATCAAGCAGATTAATTTTCTTCTTTTAATCATTCATGGCTTTGTGCGTACTATGGGATAGCGCCCTACTGCTAGGGATTATAAAAGAGTTTCACTGTATAAATCAGATTCTAAATACGTACAGGCTTAATTATATAGGGATTGTATCCATGAAATTGAGCAACTCTCCAGTTTGAGCCTATAACTATTTTGTTCATTTTTATTCATTGTTTTCAGTCAATTATAATTTCAGTAATTGGAAAATGTAAAAGGAGTCAATTGGTAGCTAAAATTTAGATTTCTACTTAGTTTAATTACCTAGAAACAATGTATAAAATATTGGATAAAATTAAATTAATATTATTATACAAATTGCATGGAATGTGCACGTACACCCATAAGAAGTCTCAATAAAGTTGAATAAACACGGTCTCGATATCAAAATTTTACTGAAAATTACATTAAAAGACTATTTGTTAAACTTTAAATTAAAAAATCTAGAAAACTTGGGGCAAATGTGTCATTATTCTTAACTGTGGTTCTTGAAATGTTATTTAGGGTTACGGTTCCAAAGTTTAAAAGAATAAAATTAATAAAAATTTACCAGAATAAACGAAAAATAGTTAGTTTAACCTAATTTTTAGTTTTTTCTTAAATGGCCATAATTTTCTAATTGCCTGGGATAGATATTTTTTCTGATTTTTCTCATGATGGTTACAATCAATCTATACAGCTAAATACAAATCAATATATATATAGGTATTTATGTATATTTATTTGTTAGGGCTTATAATACCTGCGTTTATTACACTATTGTTTTGTAAAGTTACAGTTATGTTAACTTTACCTTAACTTACTTATTATTTGTAAATTGTTAAATGAATTATTTTAGATCATTTCTCGATAGTATGTACTTCTCATGTACAACACTGCTGTCAGTCAGGTTAAGTCTGATCTGTACAGGCATTCATCAAGTGTCAGTCACAGCACAGACTTTAGAATTGTCAGTTATATACATTTGTCGTTTATTCATATTTGAAATCTGTTTCAATATTAATAAATTCCTTGTTCATATAATTTTAAATTAATTTACATTTGTTAAGTAGAATATCTTCTATATTAATACATTATTAATGTAATGTGTTGCCTCTTACGCTAGCGGAAACAAAAAAGTGTCTAGCAGACTCAGTTCAGTGCGCATGTAAGTACAATTATCTCAACGCCATTTTGAGGCGAAAATTTATAATACTATTACTGAAAATTTTATAATTTATCCTTTATTGTCTTTACTAATTTTTCTTTAGTAATCATATAATAGTAATCCATGTAAATATATAACAACTAAAATAGATTAGAAGGTATTGAGAAGTACTATTGTAGTTGGTACTATCCTTACTGAGTTCTGTTACCACAGATGTATTTGGAAAGGCGTTTGTCGTCTTGTTTCTTAAAACTGAAGCGAATTTTAACAGTTTTGGTATGCAGATGATTATTCAGATATCAGGGGTGCAATTTTCAAATTTATTTATCATCAAATTTAAAGTCTATCCTATCCTATAAAAGAAACGAATTTATGATAATTATATTCTCTTTGCCTAAAGTATTTGAAAAGATTACTTTTTGCCTATTGGTATTTTTGTCCATAAAGAGACATTGACATTATACAAATATATTGACTAATTTAAACGTAACTATTCTATTTTACAGTATTTTACATTAAATAAAAGCATATTCTATCTGTTTTACATGTTTACATGGCAATTCCAGATAACCAACTAACAATGGATTTTAAAATGCATGAGTATACTCATGCTATAGTTGGTAAAGTTACACCAGTGTTGAGACTCACAGACAAGGCCAACTTAAACGATGCTCGAAGGCAACATGACTGCTACCTGAGACTACTGCGGGAGCTGAATGTAGAAGTTATAGAAGTTAACATTGGGGGCATATTCCCTGAAAATGTTTTCTTGGAAGATGCTGCTGTCATCTGCCACGGTATAGCTCTGTTGCCGAAGGCTGCCACTACAGCGGAAGAGCTGAAAGTAAGTTAACATGATTTTTTATACATATAATGTGCTACAAGACATGTGTCATGATTCCTTCTTGTTTCAAATTGATAACCTATGGATATTTTCAAAATAAATAAACCATCTTGTATGCTGACTCATTTCTTATTTTTATGGTTGCAAATAATAATGAAAGGATAAAATAATTTATTAAAAAAAAAAAATTAAATACAGTATGACCCTGCATAACACTTCGTTTAATGCTATTTTGTGCTCCTTTATTTCAACCTGTGGATTTGGAACATAACAGACAGAGAGAAAATAGTCCAAGAAACAACAGCTAATAATGAGCGCAAGGATTTAATTTAGCAAGATGAAAACAAAAATATTGAGTGTAGTAATTGCTAAGAAAAGAAAGATAGATAGCCACATTCTACACTAGCGTTTAGTGCTGAAACTAATTGGAATGTATCTGTTGAGAAAACTCTTTTGATATTAATAATATATTTAAAGGTTTTTTTCTATTCTATAATCAAAAATATAAAAACAAAATTATATTATGTCACTTCACTCTCTACCATCTTACCATCAAATACATTTTTCCAGTCATAAATAGTTTTACTAGATATTTCTACAACAGTACCCCCATTCATCATCATATTGTCATAGTCGTAGAATACTGACGTATTCTGTGACTATGACAATATCATTGGGTTTTACTGTACCTACTCTCTCATGTTGAAAATCTCCTACAACAAAACTAACCACTTGTCAAAGAGTAATAAAGAGAAATACAATAGGCATAATAATACTGGGCTGTGCTAGGAATACTATTACTTGACAATGAAATTGAGTAATATTTTGATAAAAATTGACAGCAGAGTGCCTGATATAAGGCTTCAATAAAGTAAGACAGTAGCAAAATATTCTAGAATTTACCAAATCTCATGCTCATCTTAATATCATCCAATAGTATCCCCCTGGAGTATACCGTTAGCTGAGAGCAGTCTGTTAGCAGAGCATAGTCTGTTAGCTGTATGTAACCTATTAGCTGAGCGTAACTTGTTAGCTGAGCGTAGTCTGTTAGCTGAGTGTAGTCTGTTAGCTTAGTGTAGTCTGTTAGCTTAGTGTAGTCTGTTAACTGAGTGTCGTCTGTTAGCTCAGTGTAGTCTGTTAGCTGAGCGTAATCTGTTAGATGAGCGTAACCTGTTAGCTGAGTGTAATCTGTTAGCTGAGCGTAGTCTGTTAGATGAGCATAGTCTGTTAGCTGAGTGTAATCTATTGTTAGCTGAGCGTAGTTATAGTAGTAGTTGAATCATTCCATTATCATCCATTAAAATAGATTGAAACGTAATTATGGTTTGTTAAAATGCAACCTGTTTACTTAATAAAATATCTAACTCTAATAAGATACAATAAAATTAATAAAACTTCTAAGCAACACAGTTACTGCGTAATTTATTATATATTTTGTCAATTGATAAACTTAAAAGTTAACAGCAATAAAGGCTTCTAATCTTATTAATATTAATTTGATCTTATTAATATTAGTATATATAAATTCTATTTTTTTTATTAAATAATGTATTTGTAGAACTTTCAACATATACAACAAACACATGTAAAGTATGTGAAGCAATCTAATGTGTACCTCTAGTCTATCAGGTACACATTTGCTCCAACATTATCTTCGAATATGTGTTCAAACATTTGATGCTTTGCGTCAGGTGCTCTAAGCGTACACTATAGCTCCAGCAGCATCAGCTTCGTAGTTCCGGTTTTTGCGTAAATACAGCTAACTACGCGTACGCTAACTTTACGATGCGCAGTTAGAAATTGAAATTGCACAGCAAAGAAAACAAATTGCAAAAGCTTGTGCTAAGTTTGAACACGCTCAATGCTCATTAAATTGCGATAGTTACGTTTTTTCTAAAATTGGAAATGCAAACAAGGTGATGGTCTGCCTTTTGGTAGTGGCAAAAGTCACTTAAGCACATGATCAGATCCATGGATATCTCTATCATATACCGTCCGTAGTACTCCTCATGGTGTACAAATTCTGAAGTACCCATAGAAGATTTGATACACCCATACTCTGTAATTTTATTGGCATATATTACAAAGCAAGGTACTTGATACCTGAAGCTGAGCTAACATACGTGTGTATACATCTGGACACTAGTAAGCATGACGGGTTGAGGATGAAGTCAGGTAGTAAGATTGTCACAGGCAATTTACAAGAAATTAATTACAATGGTTCCCCCAAGGGGAACCGCGTGGAAGTTGACATTAAATTGCAATGTAATTGGGCAACTAGCCCTTTTCCCCCAGTAGTAGATTGACACTTACGTCTGATCTGGTATTTATAGTAAACAGACTTATCCATGTAGATGACTTTGTATATAGCCTAATCCCCTAAAATGAATTTGATGAATCTGATATTTATAAGTATGATATCATGTATATTTATTAATAACAGCTATTGGTGCATTGTTCTAGACGAAAGCAATAAAGGAAATCCTGCGGAAAGATCTGGGTCAGACTGTAATCGAAATAAGTGACCCAGATGCTAAGATATTGGGCTCCGATGTATTGTTTACTGGTGAGTTGACTATTACATATAATATATAATAACAATACTAATTTTATAATGTAAAATTGTGTCTGTTTGTTTCCTTGTTAAGACTAAGAGGCCGAACGGATTTTAATGTTTGATATAAATGTAGATGGTGTTATGAGGACGGATATGGGCTACTTTTATTAAAAAATGCCGTCGATGTTCTATTCTAGTTATAACCTATATAAGAACATGTATACTATAAAGAATAATTGGCGCAAAAATGTATTATAGTATTGATTGTTTTCTCAAATTTGTTACCAAAGTTACGCCGAAATAGGACGTAACAGGAATTGACTTAGTGAGTTGATTAGAGATTAATATAGACTACTTTTTATTGGGAAAAAGGGTTGTAAGGGGTTAAAGGGGAGATGAAAGGTTGTATGAAGTATCGTCATTTTTAAAGCTAGAAGCTTGAAACTTATTTTTAGATTGATTAAATATAAATCATTCATCTATTATATTATGACGATTGAATGAATGTATATTCATTCAAAGTTCGTAAAAATTTTAGCCTTAAGGGGGTAAAATAGAATAGAGGATGAAAGTTTGTATGGAAAATCGTCATTTATGAAGCTAGGACGATGAAACTTTTTTGATATATATCTTATATATAAAATTCTCATGTCACAGTTTTCGTTCCCATACTCCTCCGAAACGGCTTGACCGATTCTCATGAAATTTTGTGAGCGTATTGAGTAGGTCTGAGAATCGGCCAACATCTATTTTTCATCCCCCTAAATGTTAGGGGTAGTCCACCCCTAAATTTTTTTTTATTTTAAGGCAAAACAACGTTTGCCGGGACAGCTAGTATATATATATTATTGAATATTTTTTCTTTATTTGGTCAAGATCACTATAACACGCTGACTAAGTAGTGGGCTATATTTAAGAAATTTTATAAATATACAATACATAATATTGTATTTGTATTTATTCTTTTACACATAAAATTCTACATGGCGGATTTAATGCATAAATATCTACCAGTCAACCGCCGCGCTCATCGCAGTTAAGGAAGCTGTGCAATTTAATACTGTATTAATCATTAAAATGTACTATTTATAATTTTATCACAATGAAAATGGATATTTGGGTTATCACTATACAAAAATAACACTAGATTTGTAGCGGTCTGGGTGTTCGCTATCTATATTATTATGTATGTATTTACAAAGAATATGTTTAGGAATTTGTATCAGTTGTCTAGTACCCAAAGTATATTGTTTAACTTTAAATTAAATGGCGTTGTGTGAAATATCCTGGGTTATTATTATTATAACATCACTAGATCCATTTAATATTACGAATCTTTCGATGTACGTTACTCTTTAACGGTATAATTGATGGATTCTAATGAAATTTAGTGCACCAAATTTTATTCAAGATATCCTATCTTAGACTAACACGTAGGATACTTTATAGCGTAATTCATGCGGCCAGTGTCGCGGCAATAGCTAGTTACAAATACATAAGTAAATTTGTAAATTTCGAGAATATTCATTAACTAAGTGTTAATGAATATTCCCCCATTCTCGAAATTTACAAATTTACTTTCCTATTGTTGTGTATTTCGTACTTGTCTCAAAAAGTACTGGATGAATACGCAAGTTTCGTACACAAATAGTTCATTTTTAATTCTATTTATTTTTAAAATTTCATGTTGAATACTCATTGTTAACATATAGTTAAACGTGGAGTAGTATGACGGAGAGGTCTAGTAAATTATTGTCCACAAAATTATTCAAGTTCAGATGATTATATGAATGAAGATCGTAGATTAATTATTCATAGTGTAGATTAATTAGTAATTTTTACCCGAATTCATGTGGACAGTACCGTTGAAAACAGCTCGCAGTTAAAATTGGTGATTTAATAAACTTCTTAAAGGGGTACAAATTTAGGTATTTCGTGATAAGAATTCAGTTGTCTGATTATTGAGAGGGGTCAGCTAGTAAATAGGTGTCATGTCACAAGTAATTAAGTCATTTAACGTACGTTAAATGTACCATCGTACTCATATAGTACCGCCCACTCTCTGAATTGGCTCTTATTAAGGCCACTTATTTGAAATTCTCTAAGTATTGGCCTTGAGTGGTTATACCAAATGAGCTCAATCAGAAAATAGAATATATTCACAGACAATTCACATTGCACAAACTAGTCTCAAGTTAAGTTAGTTGTTTGCTTGTGTTATGACTAATATAAATACACAGTTACTTTTTTTATACATTCATAATATAAAAACACCTAGGTCTATACAATATGTATACACATAACTCATGAATACATATGCTACAATCACTTGCATTGCGAGCGAGGATCCGAACGAGGAATCGAACCTGCGACCATCGGAAGTAAAGTAGTGTGCTAAACCACTACACTACCAATATAAGAATGGTATACTGAATAGAATCTGTTCTTGAGTGAGTTAATTTTAGGATTATAGAGTACTAGCTTTTACCCGCGGCTTTGCTCGCGATTATTTATCCCCTTAGGGGTGGAATTTATAAAAATCCTTTCTTAGGGGATGCCTACGTCATAGTAGCTTTATGCATACAAAGTCTCAGCCCGATCGTTTTAAAATTGACAAAGTTTCATACAAACTTTCATTTCCTATCTCTATCCCTCTGGGAGTAGAATTAATCAAAATCCTTTCTTAGCGGAACGCAAGTAGATATTATAACGTATGCACGTTATAATATCTACTTGCATGCTAAATTTCAGCCCGATCCGGTCCAGTGGTTTGGGCTGTGCGTTTATAGCTCACTATGTCAGTCACCTTTGAGTTGTATATATTTAGATAGGATTATAGAGTATAGTGTAGGGCGATTATCTGTCTAAGGCCTTAACTGTTAGTGAATTACTTATTTTCTTGACTGATTTTCAGGTCGTGAGTTTTTCGTTGGCATTTGCGAAACGAGCAACGAGGCTGGAGCTAGCGCAGTTGCTGAGGCTTTTCCCGAATTTCCATGTACCCCTATTAAGGTAATTCATTCATTCATTCATTCATAATTTAAGAGCTACGCTCTTGTCGGTGGGGCTCTTGCCACTTTCCGCGATCTTCCATCATGCTCTTTAATTCTTGATACGACACATTAAGGTAATATGTCCAAATAATAAACGACAACTATTATCACACAGATGGGACAGCCAGGCATTGTCAGCTGTTGATGATGTGGTGAGCGCAATACTTTATACACATTCCTTGGTATATTTTGAATTATGTAGTATCAGAGATGAGCCTACTGGCGTTTCTCGGACTAATTTTTAGTTTGATACCTCGATACAAACTGTAAGATTATATTTCTGTGTATTATACATATATTAGCAAGTTCGACGGTTGAAATAGGTGTGACTTTAAATAAAGTATATCTCGGAAAACACAGTCAGAGGACTTTAACTCGGTACTCGACTGTTTCTCGGTAAAGGTTGCTAACCATACTACAAGAGTAGGATTGTTAGTATAGGGGCCCGACCTCCATTGCTTTCGGACCTCCAGTCGTTAATTCCTGAAGTTGCCATGACCGAATTGAATTGGCAACATGCTTATCCTGTTGCTGAACTGGTTTCCGACAGAAACCACTAACATAGAGATGCTACATTCCATATTAATCCATTAAAAACTATATTACAGGTGTCAAAAGGAGCGCAGCATTTAAAAAAGTATATAACCGTAGCGGGACCAGATATCTTATGTGTAGGTGCTAGCAAGGAGGCGAAGGAAATGTTAAAGAGAATTGAACGAGAAGCTACGTTCTCATACCAGACGCTGTCTGTTACAGAAGATGAGGCTGCCAATTGCCTTTATGTTAATGGGACATTAATACATAGGGCTATTGAAGAAATTCCGGAATCTTTTAAGGTAATGTACACTGAGAGAAATTAATGTTTGATTGAAATCATGTATGACAAGAGAGGTCGACTTTATTTATTTTTATATGTCGCATCAGGAGTAATATGCGGTATTCTAAAAGTAAATTACTGACGGTTCAATTATTTATGTTCTAAACAACCACTAGTAAATGAAAAAACATTTTTGCATTGCAGGTGTTCTGTGAAAAGATTGATTTTGCTAGAAGATCCATTTGTTTCTCCGAGCTGGCCAACATATCCACTGGGCTCAGTGCTTGCAGCCTACTCATCAGGAAATCATAAGTTATCCCAACCACATGTTTGGTTCGGACAGGCAAAGGTAAAGCCAATGTGTTCAAGAATGAAAACAAATGCTTATTAAATTGTTATGATAAACGCAAGGGTATATAGCAATGTAAAATGTTATCAGATTTAGATTGTATTTGTATTGTAATCTGAAGTAGGTACAGAAATCCAAAATGGCGGAAATTTCTCCGCCATATTGGATTATATATATACTCGGCGAAATGTGAATTTCTGATGTATTGCATGTTTAAAATCTCTAATTATACAATGTCTATTTGCATGCTGATAAATTTTATTATTGTTACTCTCGTTGGAACGGTATATATGGATGGTAAAGTATGTAAATGAAGCCTGATCAGTACTGGTCCACAAACATCACACTATTTTATAAATGTTTTCCTCACAATTCAATAACTAGCATTTAAAACAAAAAATATAGTAAACATATTGGATAATAAATATTATTACAACATATTTTATACACTATATTTGTCAATATTTCTGGTCATTAAGTATTAAAAATATAGTGTATTTTTAACGAACAGTCAAGGACACATTTATTAATGACAAACTCTGGTCATGAAGCATAATAATTATTAAACATTAATTTTTAATGACAAATTTCGATTGTCATTCTTATACAACGCATAAAGCGGGTCATAAAGCATAATGACAGAATACATAGCATAATAAACTGTCAACATTTTTACAGTTGGACAATTATTTTTTGTAATTTCACTATATTTTACATATTATACAACCGTTACATTTATACAAGCATTCTTTTATCTAATAGTAATATTCAAACAAACAGTGCATATCTAAGTAGCAATTGCATTTAATTTTCATAATAAATATCGTTTACATTAATTAGTACATATATATGTATAAGTATTTAGTATAATATAAATTCATGACATAGTTTACTCATTGTTTCAAATTCAAAAATCATTTATTCATGTAGGACATTTTAGCCGCTTATGAACGTCAAATTTTTACATTCTAATTTTATTTATTTTGCCTACCGTCCAGTTCGGTATATAGATCCAATTGAGTAGAACTGGCAAGAAACTCAATTGAATTACTTTTTATTTTTTATTTAAAATTTTTATTCTAAGTAATCTATGTTTTTACTACGCAATATATTTATTTATCCAATCGCAATATGTGAAATGATCACAGGAATAGTTTGTTTTTTTTATTTAGAAACAAAGTAGTTTAAGTTGTACTTATTTTTTACATTAATAGTGCTTTTACGTTATATTTGCGATACGCATGTTTCAATGTACTGATTGTTATTAAGTCTCATTGTTATAGATCTTTGTCTGATGGTGTTTTTCTACTTTTTATTAATAATACTCTTTAAAATTCCGCCTGGACGTTATTACCTGGGTTTACTACTAAGCGATCTGTATTTTATGTCTTCCCTATTTTTATCATGATATACAATTTGCATGGACTTTATATTAAGTGTAAGGTGTATTATATATGCATTGCGTATTAGTCTTGTGTTCTACGAGAAAGGACGAATTGATGCCGAATTACTATTGGTAATAACTATATTTGCGGCTAAAGCAAAACAGAAACACTGACTGCAACCAACGAGTAGAGAGCTATGGTTTAATACTTTCGCAAACATAAGATTGAGAATGATACGTCGTCGTAAGTTTAAACGGGAGCTAACGAACTAAAAGAACTGACGAGTAGGCTTCGATCTAAACGAAACGTTCCAATCTCGAACTATGCACAACACTACTACGCTTGCATTACAACCAGTCTATCTCAAATGTATACCTCTTTCCATTCCTTAAGTTTGAAGACTGAAATAGACATAGTGTAATGGCACAATTTGTTTTTGTGAAATAAACCTAATATTACTTATTTATTTTAATTTATCTAGATTATAATAGCATGCTTATATAAAAAAAATGTTTCATCACAACCTGTTGGTAGTGACTTTTTATTGATGTACCTTTTTTAATGTTTAGCATTCCTTTTAGTATAATGTTGATTATTATTAATTGAATATGATTCTTTTGTATTTATTTTTATAAAACATCACAACTACATTTTCATAAAGTCAAGTCGACGAACATTTTATTCGTTTCAATAATAATATAATAAAACGCAATTATTTATTCATATTGAAAATACAAATTGAAGAAATCCAGTTATTTCTTATTTGGAATTAAAATAATAATATTACAAAATAAAAAAATTGTTGTTTGAACATTTTACAAAAATATTTCAACATCCAACAACAGTTGTTACGAGAATATATTATTCTCGTATTATTTATAATGTTTGTTGTATTTGAGTAACGAAGTACCTACGTAGACTTTAGTCGTTCTATCCTAATGTGATTTATTATACTTGTTTATCTTTTATTTTAATTTGTTAAAACATTTTTATTTATTTATTAGCTTCGTTGCGCACAACTTAAGGAACTTAGTTCTTGTTAAGTATAGTTTTCTATTGTTTTTATAATATAAAAAGCAATCGAAGATAACAGTAATAATAAAATACGCGTGAATTGTTATACCTACGATATTTTGTATTTATATATTTATTCTCATGTATTTTGTATTGGTATATACAATTATATATCTCATGTAGATTTTCTCCATTGTAACTACAAACTTCCAGATTTGATTTTAGTGATAAGGCCGATTTTAAATAATAAATGAAATATCTCTAAATACTTTTTGAGGTTATACTGAATTCTAATAATACGGAAAAGTATAGTATAATAATGTTATGTAATCACATTCTAATTATTAAAAAAATCTATAATGTATAATAGTGCAATGTATGACAATATTTTTAATCTCAATAAACATTAACATGTATCTCTTTGATTTGATACAATTGCAATAAATTGAAAGTCTTTATTTGTGGTTTTATAATTATTACTCGTCCGTACAGAAACGTAATGTAATAACGGTTTATAAGACTACAAATGTACTTATTATTGATTACATATGAGGAATAAGATTATTACGAGTAATAGTCAATATATCATATTTTCTTATTACATGTTGCTAAAACATTGTTGTTAAATAATACAAACTCAGAACAAAATACAACATGAAACTTTACGTGCAATAAAAATAAAGTAGAAAATTAAAAAAAAGTGGCATTGTAATATGTTAAAGTCAAAGTTGACTATGGCCACACAAAAGTCTATAGTATGGTTTCACGTAATTGTTTTGTTACACTGAGTACTGACAATAAAGAGCAAGAGTATTGTAATTGTTAATCTGAGAATACAAATATATTCTCAAATAAAATACATAATCTATTTTCTGCTATACAAATGTTTTATATAGATCTGTTACAGACTAATAAGTCTACAATTTGCATACAGCTTTTAAAAACATCCAACATGATCCATATTTTTAAAGGTTTAATGTGGAATGGTGTTCTTCCCTGCGCTAATAAGGGCCTCAAAGTGTAATAATTCTCATTTGTAACTAATTAAAAATTGTGGAATTGTGATTTTCTATTAACTAATTGGGAGTTGTAGATGTGACCTAAGTTCGTGTATGGGCTACAATTGCAACTTTTAATTGGTCAGCATGTAACTGCGCAATTGTGGGAATTGTTAATAATATCATTATATAATTAAAGCCAGCGTATACTGCATGCTGGCTAGGCGATGAATAGGGGTTTCTTTCATAGAATCGTGGAATGAGTATTTGAAATAACGATGTGAATGTTTATATTTATATATATAATAAGATGGACAGTGAAGTTAAAAATTCTTAGACAAGTTAGAGGTCATAATGCGTATTTTCTGCTTCTCAAAGTACAATATTTTTATGCAATTTTATGCTACAATGGACTCGTGTCCGTGCATGTACGTGGCGTAAAGGTTTTGTCCTCAGCTGGGCAAAATCCTTCGTCTGTGCAAGCCTTATTTACTAAGTACAACTTATGATAATAGTAGAGTTTCAGAAAATTAAATAATTTTGAAGAGTCTATATAATAGAGTAAATGTATACTAGATAATCGTTGTTCATGAAAGATATTATAGCGCTATATTGCGTTTTATTTTTAAATGGTAAGTATACATAATTCAATAATACATGATTAGTAAAGTTGAACGGTATGTGATTATTCTTGGTATTATTAATCTTATATATAAAATTCTCGTGTCACAGTTTTCGTTACCATACTCCTCAGAAACGGCTTGACCGATTCTCATGAAATTTTGTGAGCGTATTGAGTAGGTCTGAGAATCGGCCAACATCTATTTTTCATCCCCCTAAATGTTAGGTTAATAGTAGTAAATAGTTCACCCCTGATTTTTTTTTATTTTAAGGCAAAACAACGTTTGCCGGGACTGCTAGTTCTATATATATTTAATACTATCTGGTACTATTTTGAGAATACTCAACTTCCAGACTTAATTTAAAAACTATTTAATTATTCTCTATATCTCATTCATTCTGAAAATGTGTTTTTGTGATTCAATCAATTTTTTTTAAATATTTACTGTTTATAAATTTATAATGTTTTATTATTACTAATTAAGTCACCCGAGTCAGCAAGTTATGCTAATAATATTTTATTATTTAATATAATAAATTTATATTAATATTCATTTATAGAATGTATTATTAAAATTGTTTTAATAATAGCGAGCAGCCGGTCTACTCTAGAAAGTACTTCCGATCAATTACAGGCATGTTTCCGTTTCCGACTTTCAACGAATTTGAATTTGACGAATCTTATCTAGAATTATATTTTAACGAATAAGGTGTTATTTACTAAATAATTTCATTACTTAATAGATTTGTATTATTTTGTTAAATTCTACTAGTATTGGCATGTGTGAGACCACAAGCATTTAGTGCGGAAACCAGTAATAGTTGGGTCGCCGAACAGTCAATACTAGGCTTCCAACTATTGACTGCCTGCTGATGCCTCGTTTAGAGGCGAAAGTCCGGTCGCAACGTGGGTATAGATCCGATAACGGTCGGAGTTTGATCACGAGGGGAAGGTCGTAACGATTTCGGTGGTCAGATTTCCGCACTGGAAATTTGTAGTCTCAGGAATAATAATTCCAATTCATTAAGTAATGTATCACAGTAATTCAAAAAATAATTTACATTTTTATTCATTAATTTAGTTAATACTTAATTGTGTTTCACTGATCTGAAATCGATTTTGAGAAGAGTCAAAGAGTAAACCTGCTGTACCGATAGTATATTAGAATTGTAATTGAAATAAATTGCTTATGAAGCTAATGTGCTTTCCACATCTAAATTTGTGCACATTATATATTTAATAGCATTCCCTGATTAGTATTATTAATTAATGTATGATTATTCTCATTTCAATTTGCTATCGTTTACGAGAATATTTGTTGTTATATTGCATGTTACTTTCTGAGGTCTTTTATGAAAATGTGATAGTTTTAAATGATTAATTATTAAGAAAATGTTGATATTATGATATTAAAAAAATATGCGCTTTATCTAATTGCTAATATTGATGGACTAGATCTATTTACACAATTTATAGAAGACCTCAGAAAAAGAATCTCAAATGAAGAGAGACAAGGATGGAATCTCAATTTTCTCGATGTATCTTTACCCCCAAAACGCGTGTTTATGGTAGTAGAAATAAATGAATGTATCAATACAAAATTAGTTTTATTACAAACTACCTAAAGTAATACTACTATAACAATGATGATAATCCTGGACTATCCACACAGTGCCATCTAGCGCCATGTTAAGAAAATATTTTGTTTGCGTATTAGACGACTGATATAAATTTTTAAATACATTTATATTTGTAAATACGTATATAATGT